AAAAGTTAAAAAATTTTGATCTGCAAAGCTGCCACCATAATCATCAGCAACTAAATACAATAGTGAAGTATGTGAATTTCATTATTAAGGAAATATCCACACAAAAAAAAAAAAAATTTTTAAGGAAAAAATTGACGTATGACCACCAAGAAACACTAACTTAAAACAAGAGTGCACACACGACACCAAGACTTTAGTGAAACCAGGTATTAGGCAAATTGGAGAATTTGTTTCTTAGAAATGGGTTTTAAGATGTAAATAAAAAAATTATTAAACATTTTCTACCGTTCTGTAGAAGCAATACGTCTCTGAGTGTAAATGAAATGGTAGAAAGTTACAACTCATGACTAAAACTGGTTGTTAATATACATGCTGAAAGTTTTTCAAATTCCTCATACTAAACAAAATTTAAGGAAGCACTTGACTGTTTGCAAATATTTAGTCTTTGACATATCTTTAATATATGTCAATGAGAGTAGGAAACTATCCTATTTATTTAATTTTTAGTGTTTCTTACTGAAAAGTATCTAACACAAAACTGACAACTTAATATCAAAGATTAGAAAAATTGGGAGCCTATTACAAGAGAAAAAAAAAACCGATACGTACAATATAGTACAGTATACAGTTTATTACAAACACTCAAGAAGTGGTATGGAATATTTTTTTTTTCAATAAAAAGCCATTTTCTGATGATACACAGTCATCCCCATCTTCACTACCTTCCATACTTTAACCATCTAAATTAACCGAAGGACAAATTTCACTACAGTACTTTGTAGAAGTGTGTACTCTACTGCACTAAAAACAATCATCAGATTTACCACGCATATCCTAGCCTAACAATGATTAGGGTAGATTTAGATTTCCTGAACATGTCTTTTTTTTTTTGTAGTGCATTTTTAAATAAAGTATTCCTAGTAAATACACCAAGGTGATGGCTAATAATTTTACTTACAGTGAATATGACCATGGAGGGAGACTAGGAGCTACTGCACATTATCAATACACTATGGTACTAAAAGGGTAGGTATAGGCAACAAGCCAACAAGTGGAAAGATTATGATGATACGCAGGTGAAAACTTTAAATGTGCAAATTTCAACCACAAGGGGGCATTATCAGTGCACAGAGAATATATCACTAAACTCATCTTGAGCAGCACATAGTAAGTAGAATCAGGTTAAACAGGTACAGGTCAGTAGTTAACAATGCATCAGGAGCACTGCAGTAAACCCACCAGCCCATGATAGTCACAAGAGAGGAAAGGAGGGACAAAAACAAGAAGAGAAGAGCACTACAGCAGGCCTTTGTTGATCTAAGACATCATGAATTATGAATCTAGCCAAGGTAGACACCCTTTTTGTTTTATTCAATGATGTTGGGGAGGTTATTGGTCATGTGGTTGACCAATGAACTTGCCAACACTATTAAACAAAATGAAGGGTGCATAATATGGCTAGACCCATTGCTCACAATGTCCTATATCATAAAAACCTAACAAGGGCCAATAGGTGAATGTGGTATGGTGATACCAACACACAGTAAGGACACACATGCACAATCATGACACTTATTAAGGAAACGTTTTGCCAAAGGTGATTTTTTTAGTCCCAATACAGAGACAACCACGAAACAAGTATAATCACAGTGGCAGGAATGATGTGACAAGTTGTGAGGTGTTGTGTAGAGGTAGCGGCGGCGCCGGCGGCAGTGGCAGCGGCAGCAGCACTACTACTGTGTGATACCACCGCACTATTTAACCCTTTCACTGTCAGTCCCATAATATTACAACTTGCAAGTCAGTGTTGGTCCCGTAATACTACACCAAAATTCTAGTGCTTTCAAAGCTGGTAAGCCTACACGTGAGAGAATGGGTCTGCGTGCTCAGTGTGCATAGTATACAAAAAAAATCCTGTAGCACACAGTGCATAATGAGACAAAAACTGTTTTTGGTTTAAAACGCCGACTTTGTGGTGTATTTTCGTATGGTATTTATGGTTGCATTTTTATTTTCTTGGTGTCATATGATAGAATGGAAGATATACTACAGAAATAGAGATGATTTTGAATAGTTTTTGGACTAAACGTATCTTGAAATTGAACTCAAAGTAGCGGAAATGTTCGATTATTGCCGATGTTCAAGAGTGAACAAATCATGCCACACGTCCAATACACGTCAATTGGCAGGCCTAATATGCTTTCACAAATGTGCTGATATTATTTATACCATTTTTACAATAATGCAGCAGTCTGCATAACAGTGAATCATCTATTTTTTGTGTGAATAAAAATTCAAAATGGAAAGCAAGCATAATATAAGAGGGGTCTGGAGACGTGACTAGTGAACAGAGAAAATGTTATTTTTGTGCTAGGAATGTCTACATTGTTTATTCTGGCCCCTATTTTCAAACTGGCCTTACTTGAATTGTGTATGAAATTGGCGAAATAACCAAGTTCTGATCACTATATTGGGTAGTTGACATCAGTAAATGAGTGATTTATTGTGCTCAATAGACAGAATAAATGGAGTTCTAGCGAAATAGCTACGAGTATGGTCGACTAAAACAACGGAATTGGCGGAAAATAGGGCTCAAAGTGGGCAAAATCAGTGATGCGTAAATATCGCAGAGACCGCTATTTCCATAAGTTTTTCATCAAATTTCATACTTCTGGTGTCATTACCACTGGGAAAAGATTCTCTATCATTTCATTAGAAAAAATAATTTTTTTTTAAATTCTTCAACACTGAGAGCAAGTTTGTGAGCTGGGGTCTCGACAATGAAAGGGTTAACACTTCAAGTGGTCTACTGATCTCAAATTTACATTTAGCAAACCTTTTTTTAAGGTTACCCCTGATGCTAACTTTATAATGTTACTCCACTGCTGACAGGTACCCAACCTTAGTCATCTCATCACAGCTATGCTACTACCACCGCTACAACACCCTCTTACAGCTTGCCACTTCTCTCCCGCCAGTACGTATATACGTATACTTGTTTCTTAGTTGTGTCTGTACTAGGACTGATGAAAACACCTACAGTAAAATGCTTTTTTTGATTAGTGCATAAGTATCTTTAATCTACTAGGGCCAGTAAGCATTCAACAGTGCTCCTTTATTCTTGTTTTTTCTCCCACGCCTTTCTTTAACCAAGAATGAATAGGTAGCCTTACTGTAGTCCTCCAACTGTGGAAGTGGCCCAAGATCCTTCCCCTAGCAGATCTTTCAGAATCACATATCAATGCAGTTCAAGCCTAGGGAATTTCCTGGCCAGTCATCGAAGAATACCTCACAATTGTGAAGCCTTGAACAACTGATTTCAATGTTGCAAGGAGCACTGTCTAGCATAAAAATCACTGTACCACACTGCATGAAAGATTCAGGCAAGTGACCACAAAGCAACTCTAGGTCCGTTATTACAGTAAACATTTGTGGGGATCTTTTTCAGCTTTTATGGATGTGCTTTTGGTGTGGCCATGTCATCAACACTGTCCTCAAGGAATTGATGCAACCAGACCTTCACTGAAAGCTCACACAAATCGATGGCTTTTATTTCTTTCATTTGATGGTCTACCTTATGTAATCCAATGGTCTGTGCAACTGCCTCATGTCAGCGACTTACTCCTGCCCATATTAGTTTGTCAAAGCCAAAAGTGTCTGCCAAATTCAGCTTTCAAGACCCAATGACACAGGGACCCACAGACACAAAACTGTCCACCATACATCCTAGAAGGCACTTAGGATACAACCAGTAGCCTTAGGAAATCTTGCAACAGCCCACTATGAGCTGCCAGGCAAGTAATACTTTGTTTCATCAAAAAATCTACCAGGGTAGGGTATTATTTTAAAGACAAGCACTGTCTTGTATTTTATGTATTTTGTGGTATGTTCTCTATGCATCTGATAAAGCACCCTTCGTGGGTAAAAAGTAGTACATTAAAAACTTCCCTGTATATTAGCTCTTATTTTTTCCACAGTACTATTAAATATACACAGAGAGAGCAGCAAGAGTATTATGTATAAGGAACTATTATATTTATTAACACATGATGAATATTATGTACAACAGAGATGATTAATATTATTTACATTGTTGATAATGAATGCTTTCATACTGACAATGGAGGATATGTCATGAATGATAAGCAAATTGGTAAATAGTGAGAGGAAATCACTGGTGAAAACAAAATTATCATACACTATGGTCAAGAATGATACTGTGAAAAAAGAATCAGCAATGATGAGAGAACTATGTAGAAAAGTGGCAAATACAATATATCATTTGTGTAGAGCATTCATTAATATTAATGAAAATCAACTACATTATTGAGTCACTTGTGCTTAACACTGACAGCTAACTTATAAAACAATAGAGCAATCTTTACACTGATATTAGATAAAGGAAGCTTGTGTACAATTAACAAGCAAATAGATTCATAGGTACTGATGATTTACAGATACCGTAGAGGTTCAAGAAAACATTGGAATTGTGTCTTGTAATGAAGAATTCAAGGTGACACCCATTAGCAATGAATATCACATACTGTGGTGTCACAGTATGACATAAGTTGTTTTAGTGGAAGAACTTGTACTTTAGAGTTAAGGAGTGCATATACCAGTACTTAGGAGTGTCTGATAAAAGTAGATCTTGAAGAGAAGGTCATGGCTGATCTGAACATGTGACACTGATGCTCACTGTCAGTCACTGAAGAAACAAGTGCTATGCACAAAAGCACTAAAAATTACCCATTATTGTACAATGGCTTTGTGAATTATTATTCTTTTTCCTACTGAGCATACGAGAAAATTGTTGAATAAAATGTCAAGTACCTTAGGTGAGACCATATACTGTTTAACAAGTAAACTGTAAAGAGCACTAGTACTATATTTTAATGTTGCTAACTACTGTATGAGTTACACCTTTGTGAATAATAAAAACAACAGCTATTCTTCCAAATTTAAGTGTTGTAAACATAAATGACATGATAGCTGATACTCACTTGGCTGTAGGCAGTAGAATTTGGAGCCTGGACACCATTGTCCATGTAGACTCGCACCTGACTTTGACTTGTTATTGTGGAGACAGGTGCAGGTGGGCTTGCTGAAGGTTTAAACTTGTATCTTCCTATATATTTGGCTGGCCGTTTGATACTGTAACAAGCAATATCTCAAGTATATTACAAAGACAAAAATATACAATAAGAGCAGAAAGCCTTTCCTATAGAGGAAAATAATAAATGCACAAGTCTGAAAATAATCACACACCAAATTCATGAAATATTTCTGCATTAAAAATCGTTCCCAAAATACAATTTTTTTTTTTTAACTTGCTGGCTGTCTCCCACCAAGGCAGGGCGACCCAAAAAAGAAACACTTTCACCATCATTCACACCATCACTGTCTTGCCAGAGCCACACAGATTTAACAGTAATCTTTTTTTTTTTTTAAGCATGTCAGCTATTTCCCACCATCATTCACACATAATCACTGTCTTTGCAGAGGCACTCAGGTATAACAGTTTAGATGTCACTCCAAACAGCTAATAACCCAAACCCCTCCTTTAAAGTGTAGGCACTCTACTTCCAACCTCCAGGACTCAACTCCAGCTAACCAGTTTCCCTGAATCCCTTCACAAAATACAGTAGTACCTCGGTACTCGAACAGCTCCCAACTCGAACAATTTGGTATTTGAACACTTTGTTCGGTAAAAAAAAATCGCTCGGTAATCGACCATTTGCCTGGCACTCAACCAAACAAACATGACCTGCCAGAATTTTGCTGTAAACTACTTCGTGTTTCTTCATGATTTTTGGTGTTTTTTATATTATTTGTATAAATAAGTCACCATGGGGCCTAAGAAGATTAGTGATAACAGCCAACCAAAAAGAAAATTGGTTAGTCACAACAGAGATGAAAACAGAACTCAAAGCGAAATATGAAAGCTGTGCCCGCGTGTCTGATCTTGCTACTGTGTTTCGCATGGCGAATTCTACAATCTCTACGATACTGAAAAATAAAGATGCCATTAAAAAGACTGATGTTGCAAAAGGAGTGAAAGTGGTTAAAAAACAAAGACCACAAACAATTGAAGAGGTTGAGAAATTGTTGTTGATTTGGATCAATGAAAATCAGTTAACTGGTGATAGTGTTTCTGAGACCTTCATTTGGGAAAAATCAAAACATCTGTACTCCAATGTCTTGAAAAACACTCCTGGAATGAGTGTTGATACAGGTAGTGAAGTGTTCAAAGCATGCTAGGCTTGTAAAGTGAGTGTTAAAATGCTTTTGTAAGTGCATTTTTGGGGGGGTCTGAAACGGATTGATCTATTTTTTTTTTTATTATCACACTGGCCGATTCCCACCAAGGCAGGGTGGCCCGAAAAAGAAAAACTTTCACCATCATTCACTCCATCACTGTCTTGCCAGAAGGGTGCTTTACACTACAGTTTTTAAACTGCAACATTAACACCCCTCCTTCAGAGTGCAGGCACTGTACTTCCCATCTCCAGGACTCAAGTCCGGCCTGCCGGTTTCCCTGAATCCCTTCATAAATGTTACTTTGCTCACACTCCAACAGCACGTCAAGTATTAAAAACCATTTGTCTCCATTCACTCCTATCAAACACGCTCACGCATGCCTGCTGGAAGTCCAAGCCCCTCGCACACAAAACCTCCTTTACCCCCTCCCTCCAACCCTTCCTAGGCCGACCCCTACCCCGCCTTCCTTCCACTACAGACTGATACACTCTTGAAGTTATTCTGTTTCGCTCCATTCTCTCTACATGTCCGAACCACCTCAACAACCCTTCCTCAGCCCTCTGGACAACAGTTTTGGTAATCCCGCACCTCCTCCTAACTTCCAAACTACGAATTCTCTGCATTATATTCACACCACACATTGCCCTCAGACATGACATCTCCACTGCCTCCAGCCTTCTCCTCGCTGCAACATTCATCACCCATGCTTCACACCCATATAAGAGCGTTGGTAAAACTATACTCTCATACATTCCCCTCTTTGCCTCCAAGGACAAAGTTCTCTGTCTCCACAGACTCCTAAGTGCACCACTCACTCTTTTTCCCTCATCAATTCTATGATTCACCTCATCTTTCATAGACCCATCCGCTGACACGTCCACTCCCAAATATCTGAATACGTTCACCTCCTCCATACTCTCTCCCTCCAATCTGATATTCAATCTTTCATCACCTAATCTTTTTGTTATCCTCATAACCTTACTCTTTCCTGTATTCACCTTTAATTTTCTTCTTTTGCACACCCTACCAAATTCATCCACCAATCTCTGCAGCTTCTCTTCAGAATCTCCCAAGAGCACAGTGTCATCAGCAAAGAGCAGCTGTGACAACTCCCACCCTGTGTGTGATTCTTTATCTTTTAACTCCACGCCTCTTGCCAAGACCCTCGCATTTACTTCTCTTACAACCCCATCTATAAATATATTAAACAACCACGGTGACATCACACATCCTTGTCTAAGGCCTACTTTTACTGGGAAAAAATTTCCCTCTTTTCTACATACTCTAACTTGAGCCTCACTATCCTCGTAAAAACTCTTCACTGCTTTCAGTAACCTACCTCCTACACCATACACTTGCAACATCTGCCACATTGCCCCCCTATCCACCCTGTCATACGCCTTTTCCAAATCCATAAATGCCACAAAGACCTCTTTAGCCTTATCTAAATACTGTTCACTTATATGTTTCACTGTAAACACCTGGTCCACACACCCCCTACCTTTCCTAAAGCCTCCTTGTTCATCTGCTATCCTATTCTCCGTCTTACTCTTAATTCTTTCAATTATAACTCTACCATACACTTTACCAGGTACACTCAACAGACTTATCCCCCTATAATTTTTGCACTCTCTTTTATCCCCTTTGCCTTTATACAAAGGAACTATGCATGCTCTCTGCCAATCCCTAGGTACCTTACCCTCTTCCATACATTTATTAAATAATTGCACCAACCACTCCAAAACTATATCCCCACCTGCTTTTAACATTTCTATCTTTATCCCATCAATCCCGGCTGCCTTACCCCCTTTCATTTTACCTACAGCCTCACGAACTTCCCCCACACTCACAACTGGCTCTTCCTCACTCCTACAAGATGTTATTCCTCCTTGCCCTATACACGAAATCACAGCTTCCCTATCTTCATCAACATTTAACAATTCCTCAAAATATTCCCTCCATCTTCCCAATACCTCTAACTCTCCATTTAATAACTCTCCTCTCCTATTTTTAACTGACAAATCCATTTGTTCTCTAGGCTTCCTTAACTTGTTAATCTCACTCCAAAACTTTTTCTTATTTTCAACAAAATTTGTTGATAACAGCTCACCCACTCTCTCATTTGCTCTCTTTTTACATTGCTTCACCACTCTCTTAACCTCTCTCTCTTTCTCCATATACTCTTCCCTCCTTGCATCACTTCTACTTTGTAAAAACTTCTCATATGCTAACTTTTTCTCCCTTACTACTCTCTTTACATCATCATTCCACCAATCGCTCCTCTTCCCTCCTGCACCCACTTTCCTGTAACCACAAACTTCTGCTGAACACTCTAACACTACATTTTTAAACCTACCCCATTCCTCTTCGACCCCATTGCCTATGCTCTCATTAGCCCATCTATCCTCCAATAGCTGTTTATATCTTACCCTAACTGCCTCCTCTTTTAGTTTATAAACCTTCACCTCTCTCTTCCCTGATGCTTCTATTCTCCTTGTATCCCATCTACCTTTTACTCTCAGTGTAGCTACAACTAGAAAGTGATCTGATATATCTGTGGCCCCTCGATAAACATGTACATCCTGAAGTCTACTCAACAGTCTTTTATCTACCAATACATAATCCAACAAACTACTGTCATTTCGCCCTACATCATATCGTGTATACTTATTTATCCTCTTTTTCTTAAAATATGTATTACCTATAACTAAACCCCTTTCTATACAAAGTTCAATCAAAGGGCTCCCCTTATCATTTACACCTGGCACCCCAAACTTACCTACCACACCCTCTCTAAAAGTTTCTCCTACTTTAGCATTCAGGTCCCCTACCACAATTACTCTCTCACTTGGTTCAAAGGCTCCTATACATTCACTTAACATCTCCCAAAATCTCTCTCTCTCCTCTGCATTCCTCTCTTCTCCAGGTGCATACACGCTTATTATGACCCACTTCTCACATCCAACCTTTACTTTAATCCACATAATTCTCGAATTTACACATTCATATTCTCTTTTCTCCTTCCATAACTGATCATTTAACATTACTGCTACCCCTTCCTTTGCTCTAACTCTCTCAGATACTCCAGATTTAATCCCATTTATTTCCCCCCACTGAAACTCTCCTACCCCCTTCAGCTTTGTTTCGCTTAGAGCCAGGACATCCAACTTCTTTTCATTCATAACATCAGCAATCATCTGTTTCTTGTCATCCGCACTACATCCACGCACATTTAAACAACCCAGTTTTATAAAGTTTTTCTTCTTCTCTTTTTTAGTAAATGTATACAGGAGAAGGGGTTACTAGCCCATTGCTCCCGGCATTTTAGTCGCCTCATACGACACGCATGGCTTACGGAGGAAAGATTCTTTTCCACTAATTTACATTATTCCTCATGGGAAAAATTCGTTAGGTACTTGAACAGATCAGCACTCGAACAGCCTTCTGGAATTAATTAAGTTTGAGTACCAAGGTACTACTGTACTATTACCCTGCTCACACTCCAAAAGCTCATCAGCTCCCAAAAACGATTCATCTCCATTCACTCCTATCTAACACACTATAGAAACCATACCACGGGCGGGGTTAGAACCCGCCCGTGGTATGGTTTGTTTGCAATCATGTCATTATGATTTCGTGAGTCATGTTAACACACTATAGGTTCGAACCTCTGAATTCCAACAAGAGTTGAGAGCATGTCTGGACTCGACTTACAGATGCAGCTAGTAACTTAGCCAGGTAAATGAACCCGTCTCACTTGTCAGGGGTCGCTGATTCGAGCCTTTTGGAGACTTTAAAAAAATTAGCAACTCCTTCTTCAGTATAGATTACTAAAAATAAGAAATGCACACAAGTGAGCATTTATATGGGTAGTAGAGTCATTGGCCTTAGCCCTCAAAGGTAATACAGCCTATCTTCACTTAGCGACGTACCCATTTACCGACCACTCGGACTTAAAACCAGCTCTCCAACTAGAATACAAACTTAATACATATTAGAGCTGATTTCCTCTATTCTGTTTATTGCAGTATACAGTACACTACTGTATAAACATTTAAAAAATACTAGAAATGTTATATATGGTGCAAAGGTGACATTATAAAAATATCTAAAGATGACTGACACAAATCCACTACCAGTAGAGTATGCTCCTCGCTTAACCCTTTGAGGGTTCAAGCCGTAGATCTACACCATGAGCTCAGCTTACTCAGATAAGCTGTGAGCAGTAACTTTGGGTCTAGATATGAGAGACTGCATCTATGTGTTAAGTATGCACCAAATAAAACAAATCCTGCAGCAAGCAGTGCATAATAAGAAAAAAAAATGCGACCATGTTTTTTGGATAAAAACACCGACTTTGTGGTGTATTTTCGTATGGTATTTACGGTTGTATTCGAGGTTTCTTGATCTCATTTGACAGAATGGAAGATATATTACAGAAATAGAGATGATTTTGAATGGTTTTAGTACTCAAGATAGCTTGAAATTGAGATCAAAATAGCAGAAATGTTCGATTTTTGCCAGTGTTCAAGAGTAAACAAATGACATCACATATCCAATACATGTCAATTGCTGGGTCTAACATACATTCACAAATGCACTGATATTATTTATACAATTATTACAATACTGCATGACAGTGCATCTTCTATTTTTTGGTGTGAATAAAAATTCTTTATGTACAGAAGACCATCATTTAGCATGAGTTTATTTGGCACGATTTAAATATTGCATGATCGTATAATTAATTTAACATGGTTAGGTTTGTGGGAAGGAAAAAAAAATTCTCTTTTGCTCAAGCGGCCAGCTTGTTGTGGAGCAGCCAGGGAGCCCTCCCACCACCCCTGGCCACTCCCCGACACCACCCCACCATCCCAACGTTAGTAATTCATACATGTCCAGTCCAGTCTTTCTCTGCTACAAGGCAGCTGTGTTTGTGAATTGTGTTATGATATTTTAATTACTTCATCTTGCATCTGCCAAGCAATCATGACACTCAGTACACTCAGTAGCCATACCAGTGTTGCTGAAAGTGGCACGAAGAGGTATAAGCACTTAAGTCTTAGAATTAACAGATATTAGACAAGAGATAACCTCTAGCTGTAATGAAGTGTTACTTTGTACACAGAAAAAGAGGTAGACATGACTTACTGAATGGCGACTGACTGACTGAACTGACTTACTGAGTGATTTGACTGACTTACTGAGTGATGTGACTGACTTACTGAATTGACTGACTTACTGAGTGACTTGACTGACTTATTGAATGACTTTACTGACTTACTGAGTGACTTGACTGACTTACTGAGTGATTTGACTGATTTACTGAATGACTGAACTGACTTACTGAATGACTTGACTGACTTACTGAGTGACTTGACTGACTTACTGAATTACTTGACTGACTTACTGAGTGACTTGACTAACTTACTGAATGACTTGGCTGAATTACTGAGTGACTTGACTAACTTACTGAGTGACTTGACTAACTTACTGAGTGACTTGACTAACTTACTGAGTGACTTGACTGACTTACTGAGTGACTTGACTAACTTACTGAGTGACTTGACTAACTTACTGAGTGACTTGACTAACTTACTAAGTGACTTGACTGACTGAATTACTTGACTGACTTACTGAGTGACTTGACTGATTTATTGAATGACTTGACTGTCTTGACTGACTTACTGAGTGACTTGACTAACTTACTGAATGACTTGACTGACTTACTGAGTGACTTGACTAACTGAGTGACTTGACTAACTTACTGAGTGACTTGACTAACTTACTAAGTGACTTGACTAACTTACTGAGTGACTTGACTAACTTACTAAGTGACTTGACTGAGTTACTTGGCTGACTTACTGGGTGACTTGACTGATTTAATGAATGACTGAACTGACTTACTGAATGACTTGACTGACTTACTGAATTACTTGACTGACTTACTGAGTGACTTGACTGACTTACTGAATTACTTTACTGACTTACTGAGTGACTTGACTGACTTACTGAGTGACTTTACTGATTTACTGAGTGATTTGACTGACTTATTGAATTACTTGACTGACTTACTGACTTGACTAACTTACTGAGTGACTTGACTGAGTTACTTGGCTGACTTACTGGGTGACTTGACTGATTTACTGAATGACTGAACTAACTTACTGAATGACTTGACTTACTGAGTGACTTGACTGATTTACTGAATGACTTGACTGACTTATTGAATGACTTGACTATCTTGACTGACTTACTGGGTGACTTGACTGACTTACTGAATGAATTGACTGACTTGCCTGACTTACTGAGTGACTGGACTGATTTACTGAATAACTTGACTGACTTATTGAATGACTTGACTGAGTGACTGAATGACTTCAGTACCAGAACCTCTACCATCCACCTCAGCCCAGTAGGGCCACAGCATAACTCTCCACTTTCTTCACAATCATCCACAAACACCAGCACCCATAATTTAAGGTAAGAAATACTATTATTTCTGTTACATTTGTAGTCTTAAGCATTAAAAACAACATAATACATCACAACAATGAACTAAAACTACATATTCACTTTTGTTATTGCAGGATATTGAGGCCTAAGAAAAAAGTTGTTTGGCTTTTTTGGAGGCTCCCAGGAACGTAACCCTATTTTTCCAGTAAGTTCTTCAGTTCATCTAACACAATTTTACCTAACACGGCATTTTCAGGACCTTAACTACCGTGCTAAATGAAGGTCTACTGTACATAAAAAAATCAAGATGGGATTCATCTGTAAAGCCTGGAAACATAACTACTAAACAGAGGAAATGCTATTTTAGTTCCAGGAATGCCTGCATTGTTTATTCTGGACCCTATTTTGAAAATGGAATATTTTGAACTTTGTGTGAAACTGGCCAAATTACCAATTTCTGCTCACTTTTCTGCATAGTCGAAATAGTTGATTGGGCAGCTTCTTGTGCTCAATCGATAAACTAGAAGTAATACTAGCGAAATAGCTATGAATTTGGTCAACTGGAATGAAGCAACTGGCCTAAAATAGAAGTCAAAGTGGGGAAAATCGCCTATGCGTAAGAATTGTTGACGCAGTAAAATTCACGAGTGTAATTTCATCAGTTTTCCATCAAATTTCATACTTTTTGTTTTATTACCTTCAGAAAAAGATTCTCTACCATTTCATAAGAAAAATATCAATTTTTTTAAAATTCTTGAACCTTCAAAGGGTTAACGACCAATTCACTTACCAACCTACTCTTAGGAATGGAACCCTGTCATTAAGTGAGGAGAGGAGTTGTGCTTTTCTATCCCATTATTAATGGCTCTTTGAGTACACTATACAATTTTCCGAGTGTGTGTGTGTGCCAAGGGGTAATTCTGATTCATTTCACAAAGAATTATGCATAACAAAACTCTTCAATACACTTTGTGAATCATGCAGTTTCATACTGCAACCCTAAATCTACATATTGCATTACTGGTAGGAATAGGACAGCATATGATAGAGCTTTCACATAAAGTGAATCAGCATGAAGCAAGGGAGACCTGTGTTTATGTAGTATTACAATGCCTTGACCACAAAACTGAAACCCTTATACAACAAAATTTGGAAAAAGTTAATTAAGCACATGTGACATACACTCATTATAATATGCTGTATGGCAAACTTACCTAGGGTACTGTGGGCCACAGAGAATAAAGCAGCAATTTCGACAGCATCCTCTAGAGAAAGGATTATATCCACCTCTGAACTTGCCGGTTACTTGCTCATTTGTAGTTCTCCCTCTGCTAACCAAAACCATGTGGAACCCCGTGAGGCCAAGAATTGGAATTAAGAGAAGAGCAATGACGCCCATCACCACCATACTGCAAAAGGATATGCACATGAGAAAAAATATAGATGAAGCTACACAGTTGCTAGTAACAATGCCACAAAAAAAAATTGTAATCCCTATTTCTGAAAAACATCCACAATTTTCCTGTTTTAAATCACAATACATGTACATAGCAAGACTTGTAATTACTTCAAGCTTACTCTACCTCCAGCTAACACGGGGTGATCGAGATGTGTAACAGCTTACAAAAAAATAAAAAAAAAACAATTAGAAATTAGCATTTACACAAGGGATTTCACAGTGTGAGGATCCCAGGTAACATTTCTGTTTAATCTTAATAAATGACTTTGATTCTTAATGAATTAGAGGCCTATATAAAATTTTAATTCTTGTATTTCAGTGCAAAACGGCTGGTGTGTTAAAAAAAAAGAATTTTTATAATTAGATACAAAACTATTTAAGAGACATCAGAAAATTTATTATTTTATAACTTTTGCAACGAAATACATCTCGTTAGGGACAGTTACCATAACAAACCAAACAATTTCATTTTTTTTTTCAACAAGTCGGCCGTCTCCTACCAAGGCAGGGTGAACCAAAAAGAAAGAAAATCCCAAAAAAGAAAATACTTTCATCATCAGTGAACACTTCCACCTCACTCACACATAATCACTGTCTTTGCAGAGGTGCCCAGATACAATAGTTTAGAAGCATATATAACATACCCCTCTAAACTGCCAATATCCCAAACCCCTCCTTTAAAGTGCAGGCATTGTACTTCCTATTTCCAGTACTTTATTCCAGCTATATAAAAATAACCGGTTCCCCTGAATCCCTTCACTGAATATTACCCTGCTCACACTCCAACAGCTCGTCAGGTCCCAAAAACCATTCGTCTCCATTCACTCCTATCTAACATGCTCACACATGCTTGCTGGAAGTCCAAGCCCCTCACCCACAAAACCTCCTTTACCCCCTCCCTCCAACCTTTTCGAGGATGACCCCTACCCCGCCTTCCTTCCCCTACAGATTTATACGCTCTCCAAGTCATTCTACTTTGATCCATTCTCTCTAAATGACCAAACCACCTCAACAACCCCTCTTCAGCCCTCTGACTAATACTTTTAGTAACTCCACACCTCCCCCTAATTTCCACACTCCAAATTCTCTGTATAATATTTACACCACATTACCCTTAGACAGGACATCTCCACTGCCTCCTTGCTGCACCATTTGGAACCCAAGCTTCACACCCATACAATCGTGTTGGTACCACTATACTTTCATACATTCCCTTCTTTATCTCTATGGATAAAGTTTTTGGTCTCCAGATATCTCAATGCACCACTCACCTTTTTTCCTTCATCAATTCTATGGTTAACCTCATCCTTCATCAACCCATCCGCTGACAAGTCAAATCCCAAATATCTGAAAACATTCACTTCTTCCATACTCCTCTCCAATGTGATATCCAATTTTTCTTTATCTAAATCATTTGAGACCCTCATCACCTTACTCTTATCTATGTTCACTTTCAACTTTCTACCAATTTCCAATTTCCTTAGCAGACACCAAAAAAGCTGACAAATTTCAATGCATATGCCAACAAAATCTTTAACCTCAACCAACAGATATTGTTTACAGGTTCACAAGACCTAATAATGTGCCTACAGCAGTAGGTAGCACATAATATAGAAATGTATTATGATACACTATCAAATTAGCACTTTTTTATTGTACCCTTATTCTTGCAATATTAAAGCAATTGCATTAATTAGGCAATCAGCCAACACTGTTGGCTATGCATTTTCTGCCTTAAACAAGTGAGAATAGTAAGAAGCAAATTTCTGACTTATCTATTCTCCTTGGTCATTACCTTTATTGAGTACAGGCTAGTGAACTTGCAGGCCTATACACCTTGGCTTCTTATACTTGTACATGAATCTAAGGGAACTTCCAACTGAGGTCATACTTCAAGAGGAAGCATTTAAGGTAGAAGAAATACCTCTCTGTGAAACAAGAAAAGCCTCAGGACTGATAACACTTGAAAGTCTAACGTAACTATCTGTAGTATTGTGAAAAGTTATGCTACTCACTATGCTATAACCCAACAGGAGCTCTGGAAAGAATTTATGTGGTGTATGCACTAAACCTAGCAGTCCCAACTAGGCAATCTTGGTAAGCCAGTCAAATATCATCAAGTAACAACCTATTAGCTGGTCAACATTTAGCACTCGGACTGTTAAAGCCTCACTTGATCACAGGCTGTATCTAAGTAAAAGCTGCACTACTGACAGTCCTACATGAACCTTATTCAATAGCTGGGGAAGACAGAGGGGATGGGAATGCCAGATTTTAGCTATAGTAGTATAAATTATTATTGTTATACAGCAGGTCAACAGCAGCTTCCAGTGGAAATCAGTGAATTATTCTCAGCATTTATTTATTAAATGTATACTGATAACACTTCTTGTATTTGTAATGTATAATCCAAGGAGATTAGCTTATGATACATTTTTTATTAGAAAATGAAATAAATCACATCAATTTCAAAGTTAAAAAAAATAGAACAGATGAAGATAAATTCCTTGGCCTGTGTTTGAACAAATTTAAATTTCATAAACATCTTATTCAATAAAAATTAATTAAATAGACTTTAAAGAAAAATTTTTATATACAACCCTTCAACCATAGACCTTGTCCTTGTGGTAGCACACAGAGTAAATAAACACAATGGGCAGAAAATGATCACCTTCAAGGAAAAATACACTTTTATTTTGGCAGTTCAATACCCATAATGCCTTTCTATTAATTTATAATGATTTATTATATATACTAAGATTAGTGTAGTCGTACTGCATTTTAAATTTCCATTAATGTAAATCAGGAACAGATTTCGTACATTCCCACAAAGCATAAAGTCATCAAAGTCCAGATAATCAAGTGTTTAATAAGGCTTTTAAAAAAGAGTGGTTTTCGATTACTATATATGTACAAGAAATAATAAGTGTGTACACTAGTTTGCAATTTCTGAAATATGCAGATACAAGGCAAGAAATCACTACAGTACTGTATTAGTGAAGAAGTTTATGTATGGTACAACAAAATTTTGTAACCATAAAAACTGAAAACAGTAAACTAATTTCAACATATGAATATAGAGAGCAAGCTTACATAGTAGTATAGCTCTATGTGCATTAACACTGTGGCAACTCTCCCAAAAAGCCAATTGTAATCATCAACATTACACTACCCAGTATATAGTATATGGAAAACCACTAACCTTGCAACCACTGACTCTGCAAGGTTGTCAGTATATCTGTAGGAGTGTCATTCTATTAGTTATTTAGTAAACTGAGGCTTTTACCTTTACTCCTATTAACATACTTAGGCTTTCCACCTTGTCTCTGTTGCCTACTATTTAGCTTCCTCTTCATGAGGAGTATTTCACAGGGTTTTCTTATCCCCTACTCTTTCCATATTCATTAATGATGTTCTTCACAGTACTGTACATCCAATACTATATACTGTACTCTTACTCCAACCCATATTCCTTATTTTTTTAGTGTGAGTGTGAAATTGCTTGCTTATAATTTCCATATACGCTCCACTCTGGCTTATTTAAGCCACCAATCATTATATGTAATTTCACTACTGTCAAATAATTAAATGGAAATATAAGTTGATATACATTAACCTAACAAAGACTAATCTAGTTGAGAATAACTAATACAGTGGAACCCCAAGTTTCGTCCTTAATCCATTCCAGGAGCTAGGACTAAAGTCGAAACATCCTAAAGTCGAAGCAATATTTCCCATAAGGAATAATGTAAATCCAATTAATCCGTTCCTGCTGTCAGAAGGCATAACAAAATAGTACTTCACTATGACGCTATTATCAACTCTACGGCTTATTTATCTATCAAAATTCATCTAATTTGACATAATAAACAATATAACATTAAAACCTGATATACACTCAAGAATGAATAAAATATGTACACATGTTATTACGTATGTGGTGGCAGGGGTGTAAGGCACTCGTGGGCATTCTTGCTCCAGCTATGAAAACGTCTTCCCATTCTTTCCTCCTTCAAACATGTTAGTATAAGAGAAAACGGTGTTTGAGGCAAACTGCATTAGATCACTTCTTTCGTAAGAAAACTATATTGTACAAATGAACTGGTGTACGTACACTATTTACATACCTTGCAGAAGATAAGCAGAGCGGCTTATGATGCTAGGAATTTATTTCGTTTTGTCCTTTTTCTATTGCTTAATTGCTACATTCTTAATGCTACACTTTGTCACTGAACTCAACTGCTTTAAACTCCACAACTTGCACCTGTGTTGGCATGCAGGAACACATTAAAATCACTAAGAGTGTGTTATTAATCTTGAATATGCCATATTAATAATGATAACAACACAATAACAACATAAATATGAGATGTTTTTCCAGTCGGCTTGACGGAGTGAACATAAACCATTTGTGTCTGGACTGCTAACAACAACAACAACTGGTTTGTTTACAAAACTCAGCAAACCTTCTACACTCTCATGTACTCATCTTGTTTACTCCTCTCACTCTACATTAAGACTACAAATATTTTAAGTAATAAGTGTACTGTATATGCCTTTTATTGCTCTAGGGCACTTCAAATACCTAGTATATAATGTGTCTCACGAAATCGTACTGACACGATGAGATGTTTTTCCAGTCGGCTTGACGGAGTGAACATAAACCATTTGTGTCTGGACTGCTAACAACAACAACAACTGGTTTGTTTACAAAACTCAGCAAACCTTCTACACTCTCATGTACTCATCTTGTTTACTCCTCTCACTCTACATTAAGACTACAAATATTTTAAGTAATAAGTGTACTGTATATGCCTTTTATTGCTCTAGGGCACTTCAAATACCTAGTATATAATGTGTCTCACGAAATCGTACTGACACGATTGCAAACAAACCATACCCCGGCCGGGATTGAACCCGCGGTCAGAGAGTCTCAAAACTCCAGACCGT